CCAGCTCAGCAAGTTCTGATAATGAATCTGACGAATCGCCTCCGGAAAACACCACAAACCAGGATCTATAGATCCTCACTCAGCACCTCCATCCAGCTCAGAAAACAACACCACTGGCACGGGGTAGAAGGGACCCGTACAATACGACTACCAGTCTCAACTCAACCTGTCACTTCCTCTGCCCATATCGCTACCAACCCTCTCAACTTTTCTTCCTCCCTATCCACACCGGCAAGACACAAAGAATCCACTTGGAAAGACTGGAGCAGAAGTGTAGCATCGCAGTGTTACGCGTGGACAATCAAGTCAAAAAAAAAACAAGGCCTCAAAGAATCAGAGTTTCCTTCACAGTCCCAAGATCTTCGCTGGTGAACATGACTATTTTTTTGGAGCAGAGGAAAGCGGAGAATGAAATCGGATTTCTGGGTGATGTGATGGATACGGATTTGTTGTGGATGGCTGCAACGTGGTTTCTATGTTTGTTTTTCTCTGGGAGGGTCCTACGAGCACATCGGACGGAGTCTTGGTGAATTCATTTTTTCTTTGTTTCTTTGGGATTGATTGTTTGGTTTACAAGTACACTTTGTGGGGGGCGTCGGATATAGATCTGAATTTACTTCGAGTATGCTGCAATTGGCGTAGATACAACATACCATCCCCAATGACGAAGACTTCACATATCCAACAGCTTCGCATGCGTAACGCGGTCAGCGTCTCAGACAGACGAATCACGTTGCTAGACTGAACAATCATGCGACAAAAGTGTGCGACGACAAAGTCACAAAGTTAGGACAGAAGAAGAAGGAATTTTGTAAGGTGGTTCATCAATGCAGTATGGAAGAAGACCATGGGACATTTTATCAAGACAAAAAGAGGTCTATTCCGCGCACGCAGTCGCTAGTATATAATGCCATATCCCCCTGTATTGTTGTACATCACCACCCAAACACAACTCAGCCCAGGCAGAAAAAAGCCATGACGCATATTGCGGGGAGCGTTTAGAAAGGGTTGTCCTCGGGAGGAATCTCGTGTGTGAAGAACTTGTCCAGGACGGGAATCTTCTTCATGATATCATCGCGGACCTTGGGAACCTCGGCGAAGAAGAAGAGGGCAAAGAAGCCGGCTACACCACCGAATCCGGCAGCGAGAGTACCGCTGTTATGTGGGTTAGTGGTTGGCGAGAGGTCAAAGTCCGGGGAACGTACTATCTCGCGACGGTGCCGACCGTGATGCCGTGGTAGTTCTTAGGGATGGTGTATCTGCGCCGCATGTTAGCTCCGGAATGCTTCGAGTCGCAATCGGCTTGTCCCAGGCATGCATGGACATGGCGCTTTTCTCCTCCTCTTATGCCTTGCTCAAAACAGGTACTCGGTAGATGAATTTGTATTTCCATCATACCAGCCCTCCTCCTCTTCCTCAGTCCCCTCTCACAAACCCCTCCACCGCGCCTCCCAATGCCTCATGCACGCCCGTGTATCGCCGAAAATCCAGGAAAATACGTACTGGGGACCGAAGGGACTCCTGTAGGCCTTGTAGGAGCTGCGCATGCTCTATGTCGTCCGGTTAGCGTTTGCGTCATACGAACCCGCACCCTCGGCCAGCCAGCGTCTCAATGGCTCGGGAACAGCGACTTACGACAGCAGCAGGCGTCTTGGCATGGTGGGGGAAAGATGTGGAAGACATCTTGGGCGGATTTGTCGTGTGGTTGCGATGTTGGAGACGAAGGGCAGGGTGGACAAAGTTGAAGTTGCTCGGCGCTGCTGCGCGGGAAGCAGGGCTTGGCGGTGGAAAGTCGACGAATGAGGCGCGCCGGGATTTTGCGGGTGGTCAGCGAGCAGCGACTTTACTTTTGAACTTCCACCTACTGACATTGGCTATATTTCTGGACGACATGATGTAGGTTTATTATCGTGCTTGCCTATGCAGTAATATTTTTTGACTGTGCGTGCGACTGGATTGAGATTTCAGGCTCAATCGAATCAATTTGTACGTACTCATTTTTGGAATAGCATTTTGTTGCAAATCACAGCCTAGGTGCCTACTGTTTTCCAAAGATCAAAAGACATTTTAGACCAAAACCTCCAACTTTACTCACATCAATTTGCGGAACAAGATGGTGCCCTCATTCCCATTGATGAACCAGCAACACCTCACATACCACAACACAGATGTACCATAATTTTGGTCATTGCTTCATTTTCGCGTGACTCGAACAAGCCGATCGAGAACTATCATGTCGTCTATAGACGCTGTCTTGACTCCATCTTGCTTTCACATGGATCCCAAGTCTAGTTGGTTGGTAGCCTTCCGACCACCTCAGCCATTTCCTCGTCGGTATAGATCCTGAAGCCCTTGTCCTTTGTGACACTCGCCAATTGCACGTTCTTACTATCCAGCTTCTCCTCCATGACCTGCTTCAGCGTCTTGAGCGTAAGAACCTCGGCCTCAGCCAGGGTCAGCGACTTGTGGAACTCGTTTTGCAGCTCTGCTTGCGCGCCCTCGGATCCGGAGCCGATAGCTTTGGCATCGTAGCGGTAGAATGTACCAGAAGGCTCAGCGTGGTATCTGCAGTCTCCGTTAGTCCCAATTCCAATACCCAGACTACACTGTATGACGTACAGACTCGGGCCATCCTCATCGTAACCCGCAATCAACAGAGCAACACCAAATGGTCTGCTCATGATGCTCTCCTCACCCTCTGCACCCTCACCAAACCTCAGCGCCAAATCGCATATCGCTTGCGTGCAACTCTCGACTCGTAGGGGCTCGGCATAGTTGAAGGCGTGGTTCTGGCTCTCAACGCGGGCATGCTCGATCATGCTTCGTGCATCGGCTTGCAGTCCAGACATGGCACAGCCAATGTGGCGGTCAATCTCGACAATCTTTTCAACCGAGCTGGTCTCGAGGAGGGTGGAGGTGACGCGCTTCTCTACACCAAGGATTACGCCCTCGCCTGTAGCTACCTGTGGGTTGTCGTGAGTCTATGCCGGCTGGCATGTATAGATACAGAGCACATACACCTATTGCTGTTGATCCAAGCTTAATGGCTTCTAGAGAGTATTCAACTTGGAAGAGACGGCCTTCGGGCGAGAAGGTGCTGTGTTTGTGAGCGGGGGTTTTGGGTGTAATTGCATTGGGGTAACAAACTTGATGCCGCGGTCTGAGAAGTAATATTAGCAAGTGTATAATCAAGTGGAGATATTGTAGAGACTTACCATATTCGCTTCGTGCTATGAACTGCTCATGTCAGTAAAGAGCTCTAGCGGGGGCGCGGGGAGACGCACCATGGCGGTAGTTTGTGCAGGGAAATCCTCAGAAGTCGCGAATTGGAGCTGCAGATGTGTCTCTCAAAGAAAAGCAGAGAGATCAGGTATCAAGACGACAGTGTGGTGTAGCAGAGCTGAGTTGGCGACTTGGTGTTTCTGAGCTTGACGGAGCTGCAAGGCAACATGAGCCGCGACACGGCGCTAGAGCGGGCTGCCAAGACTTGCGCCCATCACCACTCGACTCCGATATGGGGAACTCCAGCCTCGCCATGTCACGTGCCTCTCTACCAGTGCTTGGACCGGGTAGTATGGTCTATTCCACTATACGCCGTCTGGCTCATGCGCAAAGCACCGCCACCCAGCCCTCCTAGTCGTCGTACGAATACCTCGGGTGATAGTTGCACAAGGCTGTATCACTGCAAATTAAGGAGGGAAGGATCAAGCAAGGACAATTTGCCAGTGGTGTTCGATCTAGCCTTTCACAACTATACGCGTTTTTACGTATCAAGTAGTGTTTACTCATGGCGGTCTGGCTATGATATCTACCGTTGTCTGTATAGATGCTTATCGATCGGTTGTGGGCGTGCAGTGTCGTATAGTTCGGACCAAGGAGTGCCAAGTCCAACTAAAAGACAGCCAAACAGCTAGAAGACTTCACATGCACCTTGGAATAACTCATTGTCACAAGCCATATACTTTTCATCATCGACTTTACCTCTCGCTTCTGTCGTCTGCGCGGCTTCTAGACCCGACGATTGTCGGCATGGCTCAAAGTCCGAGCCATGTGTTAGATACCATGTCTCCTGAGTTCGGACCAGGTACTCCGTACGCTATCCACGTCACTATATTCCCGCCCATTATACGATTTGCAAACCAGCTCGCAAAATCGTCCATATGCATGCAACATAACCCAAGTAACACGCGTCAACCAACGCTACGACAACCAGGCCATGTGTCTATGACAAATCCGTATAAGGAGGGTTGTACGTGGCGGGGAAAAAACGATACTTTCTTACATATAGGTGCAGATATCAATGAAAAGGCTCTCCAAGCCCAACGCCAGCTGCCACACACAAGACATGATGTTGCGCAGGCAAATCCCATGATCCGTTCAAAAGTCTTGCCCCCCGTTCCGGCAGCCGGTGTCAACGAGAGATTATTTTTATCCCAGGACAAGGGGGGGGGGCACTTGACGTAGGCTTGCGAGGCGTTGAAGTATTGCCTCCCCACATCGGCTAATTAATAGCGGAACCCGGGATCAAGAAACAACCTCCTTAAAGCGTTTGTAAAAGGCCCTATGACATCAACAGTCGGGTTTAACAGCCGCAAGAAAAGGACTGGATACTGTGGACAGTGTAACACTGGAAAACAAAGACACTTGATGCTATCCCTATTCCTGTGTTCTCTTTCACCCGCATAGCAATAGTTGGAAGCGATGGAAAAACCGGGGGTGATGCGCCATGTTCGATCACCACAAGCATTTACTGATGCTCATTCGGTACGGAACATGGACACTAAATCCGCCTTTGCCCCGTGCGGCTAATGCACGTCCGGAAGCAGGGCCTAGGTCGCCTCATGGACATGCAATGGGCAACTACGCCCCAAGCCAGGATGGATGGATGGCAAACGTCACTGGCAGATAAATATTTGCTTTCCGCACCCTCTCTTTGTTTTCCTTGCTCATCGCCCTCTTCGGCTTTCCCTAATAACCGTAGTTGTAATTCCACTCGTTCATATCCTACTATATTCCTACAACTTTCGTTATACCTAATTCTACTACACAAACATGCGTCTTTCATCGACCATCCTGGCCACGGCGGCCCTCCTATCATCTGCCAACGCCGCCCTCAAAGGCTTCAACTACGGCGCCCAATTCGCCAATGACCAGCCCAAGCGTCTCGTCGACTTCGAATACGAATTCAACGCGGCCAAACAACTCCCCGGCACCAACGGCTGGACCAGCGCCCGTCTATACACCATGATCCAGCACGGCACACAAAACTCCATCATCGAAGCCATCGAAGCCGCCATCAACACCAAGACGACCCTCCTCCTCGGCATGTGGTGCTCCGCCGGGCAAACCAACTTCAACAACGAAATCACCGCCCTCAAAGCCGCAATCGCCAAATATGGCACCGCCTTCACAGACCTCGTAGTCGGTATCTCGGTCGGTAGCGAAGACCTCTACCGCATCACGCCCACGGGCATCGAAAACAAGTCGGGCCCGGGGGCCCAACCCCAAGAACTCGTCCGTTACATCCAGCAAACGCGCGACGCCATCCGCGGGACCCCGCTCCAAGGCAAGCCCATCGGCCACGTCGACACATGGACCGTCTACACCAACAGCTCCAACGCCGCCGTCATCGACGCCCTCGACTTCGTCGGCATGGACGCATATCCCTACTTTGAATCTACACTCAGCAACAACGTCGGAAGCGGCAGCCAGCTCTTCTTCGACGCCTACCACAAAACACAAGCCGCGGCCAAGGGTAAGCCCGTCTGGGTCACTGAAACCGGTTGGCCCGTCTCAGGCAAACAGTCCGGTCAGGCCGTTGCTAGTCCCCAGAACGCCCGTATCTACTGGGAAGATGTAGTCTGCCAGCTTGTCAAGGATAATGTTCCGCTGTACTACTATCTCCTTCAGGATGTCCAGTGGGGTACCCCCTCGCCTTCTTTCGGCATTAAGCCCGGTGGTGATCTTATGAGTGTTAAGCCGTTGTATGATCTTTCTTGCCCTGCGAAGAAGAACTAGATCACGCGGGGGTTGGCTCAACGACTGACGGTGGCGGATCTGTCGGGGGAGAGCAGCCTGGAAGAAAAAAAAAGTTAGTTGAAGCTTTTTCTGTGTACATAGTTCAAAACACATTCTTATGAAGTTAAAAAAAATACAATTAGACTTATTTTACTTACCTTCCTTATCTGAAATATGTGGTGGTGATTAGAAGTATGTGTCTCGTTTCTACTACTCTATATCATCTGCAGGAATACCAAAAAATAAAATAAAGTAAAAGCACACCAGTGATTCTCTTACCCCCGAAGTCCTCTCGCAACTCCATCTCTACACGAGATAAAATCAAACGTACGGTACTCAAACTTGTTTAGGTCAACACTTGTAAAAGTTGTGCCGTTAACCTTTTTATCAAATAAAGTTCACACAAGTCCCTAATACAAAGGTAAGTTAACAATTGCGGTCATCTGCCAACGGACCGAAACGACAGATAAAGAATTTCAAATAGTACTGTATTTTAAACTTCGCAAGAATGATACGAAAAAAAAACACAAAAGCTACTAAAGTTCTAGTTTACTAAAGCAAACCCCCCCTCCTTTCCAGCAACACCAAAAAACTCCAAATTACCAAAAAACTTATCCTCCCCTCCTTGTTCTCGCTCGAGAAGGGGGAAAAACCAACGGTAATGCATGCGGTACTACAACCTCCCTTACTTCCTCCTTTCTTTTGAAAAGCCAAAAGAAGAAGAGGTTTTAGACTAGGCGGACAAGTGGGGAAAAAAAAGAATGTAAAGAGAGGTTCTGGATAGAAATCATATGTTCGTATTCACATTCATGCGCCTCCCGCTCGGCCGGTAGTCGTGGCCGTTGAAGGCTGATCATTATTCCAGGTGAGGTAGGTGTGGTCACCCAATTTCCTAGTCTCCACATTAGCAAACGCGCATTTAATATCAACAAGCCCGAAAACACTAACCTGGGCTTGACAAGATGTGTAGCAAGGAAGACAGCACCAAGCACTATGCAAAGACCACCAACAACCAAGTATGCAATGCCGAGGAAGGGATTCTTGCCTCCCATGACGGTCCTGGTAGAAATCAAAATCGACTTTGTACCAGCGTATTTGTCAACGGGGAAACCTAGGGTAGGGGATTAGCTTGTGTCATTTGCATGCATTGGTGCAGCAGCAAACGTACGGTCATAAATCTTCAAACGATAAGTACCGGCTCTCAAGGTATCCTTGTCGTTGCGCTGGTAAAGTTTACTGAAAGTCGGCAATCCTGCCGTTCGCATCCAGACTTGGAATTGCTCCCAGGTATGTAGATCCGGCAGTTCATCGGTGTATTCTCCGTTGGGATACTGCTCTTGCCAGTTGGGGGGTGGAACAACATCACTGGGCTTGTATTTGGTCTTGCCATACAAATCCCCCTCGTGGCTCCATGATGTGCCCTCGACCGTCATGTTGTACGAGTTGATTTCATTGCCATCTGCATCCTGTACAGCATTGTCCAAGGTCAGGTTGCCAAAGGTGTCGTTGAACATGGAATTGGCAATGAGTCCGCAGGGGTAGTAGGGCTTTCCGTTGGGCGCTACAGCCAAAGGATCACAGTCGCCAGAGTCTAGAGCGCTGGCACTCCTGGCGTCGCCCTTGAGCTGCTGGATATCAACCGACTTGACGTATCGACGGTGGTTCTGGTAGAAGTTGGTGAGGCGGTAGTAGAAGAGAATCGGTGGGGCAATATCGGCCGGGATAGTAAAGCTCAGAATGCACACGTTGGTCTCGAGGGTGACGCCCTGAGGCTGGAAGGTGTAGTTGTCCCGCGCCCAACCCCACTGGGGTGCCGTCTGCATCTGTTTTCCGTTGAAAGATGCGGATACTCTGCCCGAAGGAATTGGCTCGAGGTCGTTGCCTAGACTTGCATTGTAATCGAGCCTAGCTCGAGGCGCCGTGCTGTTGCAGTTGGTGTAGTCGATGGAGATCTCCTGGACCTGCGCACTAGCGTAGATGAGCAGCCCACCGATGGGCGCGAAGATGACTCCGACAATGAAGAAGAGCGGAAGGACCGTCTTTGGGGTTAAAATGGGTCTGTCGCAATGTCAGCCGTAATTCGTCCTAGAGTTAGTTTTGCCCCAACGCACTGCCATGCCTTTAGACGCTGTTGTCTAAAAGCAGTATCTGTAGTCGCGTTAGCACCATCGTCGCCTGCGCACTGCAGCGTGCGTGTCCAAGGCTCTTCTTACTTGGTGGCCTCTTGCTCTTTGCCTTCTTCGGCTCGTCACGGGCTGGGTCCTGGCTGTTTATCGAGTCGGTGTTGTCCACCTGCTCTGTTCGCGACATTGTGCTGGGTGCGCGCGAAGCGAAGTAGCGGGCGGGTTTGTGGGTGGGGGTATGTACAGTCGTTGGAGTGTAAGAGGTGATGAGAAGGCGCGGGTTGGAGCGTCCGGCCAAGGCGTCGTCCCAAATTAGGTACAGAAGAGGCCGCGCCACGCCTGCGGAGCTTACATATCCCCGCTCGCGTCCCGGACCCGAGACCCTGAACCGTCCGTTACGCGGACGTAGTCAGGAGATGAAGCCCCAGCCAGCATGACCTCAAACCCTGGCTGCAAAAGAAACGTCGAGTATCGTCATCGGTGTGCAATTCATTGCGAGTCACATACATGATGTATCCATCATATTCACCAATGCACTGCAATCACACGCCGTGTATCTAACAAAAATAATTGTATTCTGGTCTAATACTACCAAAAGGAAAGCCTGCATGTGCGGCGTCAAGAGTCTCTGAAAAGATCTGTAGAGTATCAATTCATGTGAGCTGGGGGGTATCGCATGCCGTAGACAAATAAGATGACGAGTCACAACAACAGGAGGAAGAACAACAACAATAAAGACACAAACGCCAAAGGGAGGACGGCGGCCAGTCCCAAACGCCTACCCATGCCAACAAACAAAAACCCTTGAAAAGAGACAGGGATGGAAAACGCCAATCATAAAATCATGCCGAGTGCGACAACTGTCGCATCAATCAACTCGGAAGGAGAACCGACTCATGCAGCTGGGGCCGTAACGATGCTATGCGCAAATTGGGGCATCGTGGAAACAAAAAGCTCTCCATCGAAGGAGGCGGATAATGATAGAAAAGTAACGTGACTTTGTGTATGCGTGTGTGTGTGTGCAGGTGGCGAGAATTGTAGTAAAGGTTCTTAGAGGTATTGACGGAAGTAGTCTGGGTTAAACCAGCCGACGCGGTCGTACGACTGCCACAGTTTACTGGCCTTGTTGACGTCAATTTTGCAGGCCTGCTGGGCGTCGGTCTTGCGGAACTCCTTGCCGATTCTCAATGCCTCAATGCGAGCCTGGAAGATGCGACGCTTGCTGGTGAGATAGGTGGCACAGTTGAGGCGCAGGGTGCCTGCAAGGTTGAGTTCAGCCTCGTGCAGCAGGTCGCGATCGGGATCGTCGGCGAGCGAGAGGGCCTGACCCTTCCACTCAGCCTTGAGAATCTTGGAGTTGCCCTTGGGCAACGTGTCGAGAGGTGGCGAATAGTCTGGGATGGCATTGTAGTCGGAGTCGTCACGGTTCGTGGCTGGTCGTGCAGGCTTGGGGGAGACCGAGACAGATGCTGGCTTTGGTGCAGGGTCAAATGACTCGTAGACCTGTGCAAGGGGGCTGCGCTTGGCCTTTGGAGCGCGAGGAGTACGGGGAGGTATCCGGGGAAGAGCGACCTTTGGCTGGCGGGCTCTAACGGATGGTGCAGGAGCCAGCTTCTTGAGAGCGGTGCGCTTTTGGACACCGGTGGGACGACCGTAGTAGTCGTCGAAACGACGCTCCTGAGCCCACCAGTGTCGGGGGTTCTTGGTGGCCGAAGCAAAGACGTTTGAGCGGAATGAAACGGCCAATTCGTAGTCTGCGCGCGAGGGCTTGGAGTGCAGGCGTGCGTAGTCGTGCGACTGCATGTGGTGGGTGATGGCGTCTTGTTGCGAGGCTGAGTCTGGTGAGGAGGAAGAGGAAGGAGCTGAGTCCTGGGGGAAGAGCGGTATGTCGGCAACGGAGAGGGTAGCGTCGTGGGCGACGAAGAGCTGAGGGTCGCGTGAGCCGGGCTCTGCGACAGTATCCATGGTGTCCTTTTGGGAGTGGGAGTCGTATGGCGAGATTGGGGGGGAGACGTAGGCGATGCGGTGAGTTGCTGCCTGGCAGGCGCTGAGGGAGGCGTTTGTCATGGGCTTCAATTGGACTGAATTGAAGGAGGTGTTGGGCGATTGAGTAGAGGCAGAGGCAATTGACGAGCCAAACGACTCTGATCGCTTCATCTCTGGGGGGGAGAGGAGGGAAGAGACGGTGAGGCGGGCAGTTGGGGGTGTCTTATGAGGCGAGTTTGCCATTGCGTAGTGTGGTCAGAAGGTTTGTGCTTTGACTAGAAGCGAATGCCCCCGGCGGCGGTAGCGGTATTTGAAGGGGGGAAGCGAGAGTAGCAGAAGGCTGAGGGAGCGATGATGGTTTGCGGGGAGGGGGTGGAAAATAGGGTAAGTAGCAGAGCCAACTATGGGTGGGCTCTGGGACGAGCCTACGGCGTTGCCACCGTTATATCGTCAGAGAGCAGCAGGCAGCGAAGGTTGAGCGTGGAAGGCGGCAGAATTGCCCGAAGCAGCGGCTTATGCAATTGGGGCGGGCAGGGCGATTATTAGTCAAACCGCAGGACAGGGCAGGACAGGTCAGGATGGAATTAAAGTAGCAGGGCTGTGGCCGTGGCCGTGGCCGTGGCTGGGTGACAGTGCGGAGTTATGGAATCGGAGCCGGGGAGGAGGTGGAAGAGTGCGTGGTGAGTGGACTACTGGAAATAGTGGCCAGAAGCAATGCAGCAGCAGCAGCAGATGATGATGATGATGATGATGAATGCAATGGCATTTGCATCTGGGAGGCAGAACAAGCCAATCTTGCCGAAACCGGACGGAGTTATAGCCAGCCAGCAGACGGGCTTGGGGCAGCGGTTTCAAGCAGGCTACAGCATGCGAGCCAGGCCGGTGTGACTCTGGCTTTGAGACAGACTGGCGGCCATGTGCTAGCGGACCAGACAAAGAGGGTGTGCGGTTGGCGCGTGCCATGCTGCGATCCAGCCCATGCCATGGCTCAAAGCCGCTTCCCTCGTCCATCATCATCCATCCATCCATCCAGCACAAGCACAAGCACAAGCACAAGACAAGGGCGCGCGCGGCCGGGAGCGGGCAGCGACGATGAGTCCTTGGTGAGGAGCGGCGAGGCTGACCAATGCCCTCGGCCAGCTTTACATGCCGGGCGCACTTTGCAGTCAGAGAGACACTGGCTATGCGCATCCACGGCTCCGTGTCGCCCACCAAGCAGCGCCAACCCCGGCTGGGCGGTGACGGGCCCCGTAACCGTAATCTCTCAGAATACAGTATGCTCCATTTCCATCTAATCCCTACTGACCATCTTACTGCCTACCTACTTACTCTATCCCGACCGCCTCGTCTATACGCCGCCGCCGCTGCTTTGCTGTCTGTCTCTCTCTCTCTCTCCCCCCCCATTGCGCCCGCCCTGCAACCCATTGAGCCTGCCAGAGCGGCTGCTTTTGCCATTGCACCCCCTAGCCACCCACCAGTGTGCCACAACAAGGCCCCATGGCTGCGTGGGAGCCTGCAATGCCGCATTCCCACCCTCTCCCTCTTCCTCGCTCGGCTTCCGGTGGAGGAGCTGGGCCACACGGGCTTCCGTCATCAGTCTCGGTTGCCCTTTTGTCTATTACTAGACCCAGCTACCACACTGCCTAATAAGTACCGTACATGCGGCTAGTTGGTGTCTGACCGCCATGGGGGTTATGCAGACATGACCATGGCTGCAAGGCCAATTCACACCAATTGCCTGTCTTGGCCCCCGTGGCTGACGACGGCCATGGCAAGCATAGCAAAGGGGGGGAGAGGGGGCTGCCCATGCTGGTGGCCCGTCAGCGGCGGCTGCCGACAAAGCTGTTGGCGACGGAATTCCATTCTAGTCCTTCTAGTCAGGGTCTTGTGACTTGTCTGCTTGTCCCCATTCTTGCCTTACTCGCCTTCCATTTCGACGTCTTTCTCTCCCAAGCGCTGTAGCCAGCGCCACCGTCTTGCATGTGAAAGCCTCCTCCCACCCCTTAGGTCCTCCCATCACGCTCAGCTGGACAGCCGACGAGGTCATCCACAGCCCGGCGCCTATTTCACGTCGGATAATCCCAACCCATGGCTACCCAAGGCTGCTCACGAGACGCGGCCCTGTCGACACCATCTCGTCTTGATGGTGGGTTGAAGGGTTCAAGGGAGTGGGTGGTCATGCTCATGCGGCCATGGCACCAACCCTGGCGAGCGCGTGTGTTATCGTCGTTATCGCGCTGTGGGGGAGGAGGGGTTCACGCTGCAAGGCACCCCTTCGACACGCGCCCGCTAATTCCCGCCGCTGGCCTCGATTGTCCTTGTCGCATTCCATTCTTCTTCTTCTTCTTCTGTATTGTAGTATTCACTGCCATTGTGCGCATTGCTGTGCCATGGTCGCTGCACGCATGCACCTCCTCCCTACATTGACCATGGCCTTTGCAACCAGCCCCCCATTGTTGCTGCTGCTGCTGCTGCTGACTCGGCGCTCCCCGAAATGCAATGCACCACAGCCGTCAATTGCAATTGCTCCCTACCCAATGCCTCTCTGGACTAGCGGCCCGATCTGCGCTCCTCGACAATATCCACTCTTGACAGCTGGTCAGCCGATAGGCCAATGCAGCCAGATGATCCCGTCGTTCGCTGCCCCATCTTCTCTTTCAGATGATGCGACCGACGCCTTTGGGGTCCCTGCATCCGCCCTACCTGCAACCTGCCACCTGCGAGCACAACAAGCAAAGCCTGCTGCTTGTCCTGCTTGTCCTGCTTGTGCTTGCATTGCTCGCTTCAATCACATCCTCTCCACATCACATCCACGTCGTCTCTGCCTAAAATAGCCCATCCACTCGATCGCCAGCACAACCACGGCAATCAATCGCACAGGTACACATGTACAAAAGGTACGTATACATGTCTACGTACCTCGCGACAAAAACAACTGCCCAGCTTCTAGGCCCTTCGGATCCAATTGCCTTCTCCGCATCGTGACGTAGCCCATTCTCTCTAATCAATCTGACATGACATGCCTGACTACGCAAGCCCCCCTGCCGCCCATGTCGCAATTTGTTTCTGGTAGTGAGAAAGTCAATGCCATGTCGACTTGTCTACTACACTACTACGATACTACCATGCATGCCTTCACGTGCTTTTCGCGAACCAAGCGTTGCCCCCCATCTCAACTCAACCTGCCACCATCACCGTGCTGTTCCCCCCCCCCCACATACGTCATATCGCCAGGACAAGGGGCCCTACACTACACACCATGTGCCCACACCGATAATCACCCGCAATGTCTCTGCCCAAACTACCTACCAATCGTCGATTCCTAACCCGGCTATTCAATTCGCTAGCTGCACCACCAGCCCCGTCATCACCTGATGCCGCCGCCTCGCTCACCGACGACGCAGACGACAAGCACCACCCCAACCCCCTCGATAGCGTACCACCCGCGGTCAAGAAACAGCTGCTTTCCTTGCAAGTCCTCTTCCCAACCGAATTCATTCCCGCGCTAGACGTCCTCGACCGCCGCCTAGTCACTCGATTTCGCATCCGAAACCATCCGTCGTCTCCTTCTGTCCATCGACAAGACGGACACCACCATGAAGATGCGGTGATGCGACTAGGCGGTGACGACGACGACGACGACAACGACAATGATGAAGAGATGCACATGAGTGATGATGCAAACCTCAAAGACGCGACGTGTACATTTACCACAAAACACACCTCCCTCCCTCACGAAGAAGCAACATCAATACCCGTACATGTCACAACCACAACTTCTGCTTACAACGGCAAGACCAAATCATCAATCTACTACGTCCAATCCGCCCAGCACCACCGCTCCTCCCGCTACTCCTCTGCTTTCTCCTTGTCCTCTGATCAACCCCCAACCTACCAAGTCCGCCTCACAACCTGGTCCTGCTCCTGTCCCGCCTTCACTTTCGCAGCCTTCCCTGCCACTCCTGACTCTCCTCCTAGCCAAACACACCCTATTCCCCATACTAACCATGACAAGGAAGAAAGCGATGAACAAAATGATGACACAGCACAAAACCCCCCCTGGATCTTCGGTGGCACAACGCTAGGCGACGATATGCCCCCCGTCTGCAAACACCTCTTAGCATGCCTACTCGCCGAAAAATCTAACAATCTCTTTGGTCGCTTTGTACACGAAAAATGGGTTTCTGTACCTGAAGCCGCAGGATGGGCTGCTGGATGGGGAGATTAGAGAAAAAAAATCATGTTTTAGATACTTTGGATGTACATGTAATGCTCTCCTGCTCCTGCTCCTGCTGCTGCTGCTGCTCCTGCTCATGTTGTGATAACCCCCCCTCAACCAACCAACCAACCAACTTTGTTTTTTTTTTCTTTCTTCGTCTTGTTTCCATAGCAAAAGGCATTGATTCAACAGAATCAGACTACATCAAGGATAACATCCCTTTTTTTCTTTTCTTTTCTTTTCTTTCCCCTTTTCCATCAACATATGCTTAGGCAATGCTGCATTATCGCCATTCATCTTGTTTTAGTACTGCTCGTTTCAAACACAAACACTTTTTGTCCACTGTCATTGTCAAGATTTATGCAATAACATACACGATAGCATACTACTAACATCATGTCCTTTGTTCATTTCATGTCTAATCATGCCAAGCTCATGCAAGAGAAGAAAGAGAGAAAGGAAGAGAGAAAGACCCCCCCNCCCCCCCCCTCTCTCTCTACTCTTTTGACAATGTCTCTCTCTTCTTCCCCTCTCCCCCTCCAAAAAAAAGGTTACGAGGAGCTTATTGTACACTAGTACACCTGGTTGGCTACAAGGCTCCATCATCTAATCTCATGATCATCTCTCCCCGCCTCACTCGCCTCACTCACTCCGCCTCCCTTTCAGCCCTTCTTCTTGGGCTCCTCTTTGCCCTTTTCCTTGCTCTTGTCCCCTTCCTTGGCCTCGCCGCTCACCTTGTCACCCTCCTTCTTAGCCTCCTTATCCCCTTCCTTGCCTTCCTCCTTCTTGGCCTCCTTGTCCTCTGCTTGCTGCTTGTTCTGGATCTTGTTCTCAATCAGGTCGTGGAACGCTGTAATGGCTCGGATCAAGCTCGATAGGTAGATTGCCATGAGTTGATCGTTCGTCTTGACGCTCATGGCACGCGCAAGCTCACCATTGTCCACACCGCCCGCTTGACCCGCCGCTGATCCCACGCCATTGGTCGCACCACCTACTGGTGCAGCCTTGGGTGTCGACAGGTTAGGCAACAGGTTGAACACATCTTGGAGATTACCAAGAATCGCGTGGTTCACAGGCAGATCCTCGTCGAGAACCTTTTGTAGATATTGCCCAATGTCTCGTAACCGTAGATGTAATCCTTGCAGCGACTGCAGTTGTGACGTTATGCGTGTTGAGAGCGTGCCGACAGCCACATCGCGGATGTCACGGAGGAGGTGCTCGACACCAATCTCTTCCGCCTCCTCAGCCTCGATTATCGATGGCGTGTGCACAAACGTCTTGGAGGTTGTTGTGCCGTCCTAGACTTAGAATTAGCATCGTCTTCCATACACGTCACCCCACCAGGTGCATTGCTGCTGTGGCAACAATAACCCCGCTGAGCCAAGTGCACTCACATCCTTAATCTCCTCAACCGCAAAGTAGGCGTCTGTCGGTACCCCCACTTCCTTGGGCTGGACGTCGATAATGACTAGTAGCGGGTTTGGTGTGTAGCGCTTGAATAGCTCGTTGACCTCGAGATCCGACGCCCTCAGCTTGGGTCCAGTGTGATACCAGCCGATGAGCTTCTCCCGCGCGTTGATCTTCTTGAACATGTCGTTCATCGACTCGACGTAGTTGTGGTCCAGGAACCATACCGATGGGTCCTTTTCGTCTTCCTCGAATGGCACTGTAGCCCAAAGTTAGCTCATACACTCAACGCTTCCCCGCCCTCGGGGCGAATTGCTCAGGCGGCAAACTACGTCTGGAGAGGGGCTACACACCCGCAAAGCTGTTGGACACGCGTACGTTCTTGCCGTCATTTTGTCCAAGAAGTACACCGACTACTCTCCTCTTGGTGCCCTTTGCTTGTCGGCCGTAGTGGTCTGCTGCCGAAAGAAGCACGAGCGGCGCGACCGAGACGTTGCGGGTCACAAGCGACAGCGTTTCTGCTGTGGTGGCGGGCATCCTGATGGCGTGTACCCAGTATTGCCAATGTTTCTGTTGGTTGTCTGGGAAAGAAGATGGCAGTGGTGGGTGTTGACGGGGCGAGATGATGTCGTTATTGTTGATGCGGCTCTGCGATGGGCCATCTACGTACTAAGCTTTCGGAACTGTGAGATGGTGAGTGGGTCAGAGCTCCGCACTACTACCATAGCTCACCCAGCACTGACATAACCAACCCCAGAATTATACATTAAATCACCACTGCATACAGCACTCGCGGCTACAGAAACCACATAACATTTCAAAAATTGGTATCTCAAGAAGACGTACTAGTACATACTGCAGACCTGCAGAACAGAAGCGCAAACTGGACCAAGGCCGTGCAATGGCCTCGGAGTATCTTTGAAAGAATACAACCAAAACAGAAAAACAAAAGGCGAATACTACGGGAAATAGGGCTGCAAGACTATTCCGTGACACTGAAGCTCCATGTCGAACATTACCGTATCATACCAAACCACACATAGCCAGGACAGATTATAGAGTAGCAGTGGGGAAGTAGTACTGATCCCAGAGGAACTCGTAGTCTTCAATAACACCACCGACCATGTCAAGAAGAGGCTTGCCCTTGAGCTTGGAGGTTATCGAGTGGATCCAGGCCCTAGGTACATTGTTAGCTACATTCACCATGTTCAGAATTCGTCGTGACTTACTTGGTGATGTTCTCGTAGAATGCGCCGCGCATCGCCCACCAACCCATGGACCAGCCCCGCTTACGTAGCTCTTCTCTCTCTAGGCCAGTCAAACCACGGAGTCCTCCAGCCAAGCGCTCCTGGAAATCCTTCTTTGCAAGTTGGCGAGCGCCATACTCGATGCTGACGCCAATCAACCACGGCCGCCAGCTCTTCCTGTCGCCGCTAAAGTGCTGCATGGCCAAGGCATAGGCAACGGGTCGCAGAATGTAAAGGACCTCGGCAAGCTCGCCCTTTCCACTCACTCGGTGCAGAAGCGCCTTGGGTGGTTTGATGTCGTCTGCTGTAAGTACCTTGGAGAGGAGGTAACTCGAAATGTCCGAAGAATCTGGCAAACTAGGCATCGACAGACCAGTCCTGGGCATTGCCCAGTTCTCAGCCTCGACCGAACGCTCGCTTGGTGGCGTATCCATGCCATCCGCCGACGCCGACGACTCTTCAAGAGAGCTGGGGTCAATTTCCCGCTGAGGGAGCGGGGGAGATAGGAGAGGGCGGGAGTTTGTCAGTCGGAGCAGCAGCAATCGGCATACTGCCTTTACCACTTCCAGCAACACCACAACCCGCCATCGTACCTTCTCGCCCTTCCTCTTGGCTGCCATCTCCCACAGCAACTCGGTATATTGAATCATCTGGAGTACTAGCGCGATTCGCTTATACGTGGGCGAGTGCTGTGTCCAGAACTTGGTGTATCGATGATGCGGGGTGACAGGGTGTCGTCGCGTCCCTGGCATTTGCGCCATGGCTTTGGAGAGGAGAGAGTCGTGGTATAGCGAAAGGACCTGGACGCCGCTATGAACTATTCGTGTGTCAGTTGAAGGAGACGCGCCGCCAACGAGCGCGCAACATACGAGACTCTGATGCGATTTCGGATTCTCGGAAGCGTCCTAGGTCTTGTTAGCATCGTGCCAGAAAGTAGTCCCATTGAGCCATGCGCACCCGGAATGATATATGTCAACGAACGCAGTGCAGACTCAATCTGCGTCACAGCGCTGCTGTTTTTGGTGATGAAGTCCGAGTACATGCCCAGCCATCTCGGGGGCAGTGACAGCACCTCGCCCGTCTTCTGTGTTGCTTGCTTGTACATGGCTGCAGTCGCCTCAGCCAGCGCGCTGAAAGGTGGCGCTTGTGCGACGTGTACGTCGTGGTGTTGGTGTATGCACGTGAGGACAGGAGTCGGGGCAGGGTGAAGTCATGGACTCGTTATCGCGTGCCCGGCAAAGTACCGAGGCTCCCGCGGTTACTCTACCCCGGATGACACCTCCGCAACATCATTGCAGCTTCTACCCCAGAAAACATTGCGCCCAAGTGATACAAGCCTTGTTCAACGTTCAATTCATTTCAGTTTATAGGTATTGCGATTGGCCAAAATGAACGAAAAACAAAGGAGTGCCTCCACCCTACACGGAGTTCGGCTCTTCCATCGTTGCACATGACCATTAATAGCATCATCTTTCTCTTCTGCTTGTATCTAGCCAACTACACATCTGTAACAAGTCGGCACACAGTAGCGCGTCTGCCTAGAGAAAACACCAAATGTGGCTTAGAAATAGAGCCGCCTGGCACGTGACTACGCGAAGAAGAAAACTCAACTTCCATCTCCACGCGTCCATCTGAGCGGGAGAACATACACGAACGCAAAGCAATTGATCCTATTTCCACCATGGCGAGTAATGGTCGAACTACTCTCCCTGTTCCGCAGGTACCCGTCCAGGACAGCGACAAGAAGCTCTTTGCATCAATCAATTCATTCGTCCACGAGTACATGTCAAAATACGACAACTCACACGACTACCAACATATCCTGCGCGTCTTGTCCAATACCAACCAAATATTACAGGCCGAACTAAAGTCCAACCCCTCTATGGCTTATGACACTACTTCACTGTTCCTCGCCGCCCTTTTGCACGACGTGGGCGATCACAAGTATGCAAAACCAGGAGAAGACATCGAGAACCAAATTGCCAACACACTAATTCAACACGGCGCATCTATTGAACTGGCCCAAAAGGTTCAAACCATTGTGAAGAACGTTTCCTATACGAACGAGGTCCGCGACCCTGCTCGCGTCGCTTCAGTGATTGGGCAGTATCCGGAGCTCGCTATCGTGCAGGACGCCGATCGCCTCGACGCCATTGGTGCCGTAGGAATAGCCCGATGCTTCTCTTTCGGGGCAGCAAAGATGCCCGAGCAGCCTATGGACAGAGCGGTCAGCCATTTTGGTGAAAAGTTGTATAATCTCGCAGGAATGATGAAGACGGCTACTGGCAAAGACATGGCGAGGAGAAGGCATGATGTGCTAAAGGAGTTTGCAAAGGAGTGGGAAGAGGAGACACGCTTAAGCTTCCAGCTACATTGATTAGTATGGAGCGGATTAAGCTTCCACTACACGATGGCAAATCAGTCATTTCAGAATACCGAAGGTGGAATTGCAATGGTTTCCGATTCACAATGCTCATCTTATAAGTCCGATACCAAATTGTCTTAAAGAGGAATGCACTTCGGTGCTGTGATGTGAATAAACTCTGGCCCTGACGATCGCTCAAAAATCCATGTTTGTCCTTGGTATCACACCACTTTGAACTCGCGCATCTTGACCGATGAATGCAAACGGGCCGAATTACATGCAAGACACTGTCGTACAATACTGGCTGGTTATTGCAACACAAGGCCCAGTGTATTCAAGAAATCTTTGGGATGGCATCCAACAAGAATTGAGTCCAGTGCAGATGGGAAAGGCCTGGAAGCATGGCGGTACAATCAAACGTGTTACTAGACTTTACAAAGTCAAATGTACAGGGACACCCGGAAGAATATCCCGCCAATGAATGAATGCTGCGTGACATGTCCGGTTTATACATTTAGCGGACGCACGGTTGTCTGTGATTAGCATCCCAAGTTCGGTCGCGCATCTCCACACGCTACGTGCTCCTGTGAACCATTGCAATTGGATCCGGAACAAGGGCAGCGGCCATACCTTGCCGTTTTGTAATCACTGGTAACGGTCTTCAATGCCGAGTGAATCTGGGAGCCAGCAAGATCCTTTGGTGCGCGCTTAACGTGGGGACAAAGACCGAATACTACTAATGTAAGTATCGCCGAACAACCAAGTCGGGTGTTGAACCATCACCGGACTGCCATATGGTCTCTCTACATAGCCACAAGTTACTATCGTAACCAATTGAAGAAAAGGGCCCATTCAGCTACAATTTTGAACGACAAATGTCCTGCATGGAAAAAAGCCGCATGTGGAGAGAGGACACTTGTTTACCGGAGAGAGATCCGATCATGATTTGCTATGCGCCCGCTACACTTGAGGCGGTAACGCTAGCAGCCGCAAAGAGTGGGCTTCTGCATGCGTCTGTTAGTTATGCAGCCCTCCACTAAAAGCTACAGGGAAGTGAAACGCACCATGGAGGGCAGAGGCAGTGAATTGGCTGGGAAAGAAAAGGGATAGTATATAATCATGGGTTATAAAATCATAAGCATGCGATTCAGGAGGTCTTGAGTGTATGATTCGAAGAGTAATGACAGAGTTTCCGTGGTAGATTGTCCCAAAAGGAAAACGCGAGAGTTCGCAGGCAATGGCTGACGTCTACCTGGAAATGGGGAAATGGAGACATTTGATTGGCGGGACGAATTGCCGTATCCCAATCGACAATCAAAATTCCTTTTACGCTATCCAAAGACTGCATAACCATGGGAAATAGATATTTAGAAACTCGGTCTCTGGGATCTGGTTCTAATCGTCTTCAAGTTTCTAGATCAGTAAACAAAAAATAATCCCGTCCGCCCATCGCCCACGCGAGAACCGTTTGCCGGAACATGCGCCCTCTGCGACCACTCCTCCCGTCAGCCACACGACCACGAAACGAACCCCTTCCGCCGCTGCCGCGAGACCGCGTCGCGTCGGCCTGCGATCAGTGTCGAGTACGGAAGATACGATGTAACGGAGACCGTCCCGTGTGTCTCGAGTGCACCAAACGCTCCACCTCGTGCCACTATGCGACTCGCTCAGCGGAAACCCAAGGCCAAGCGCTGAAGCGAAAATACGACGCCCTGCACGCTGAAAACGAAGCCTACTCCGAACTCTTCAATCTCATAAAGACAAGGCCAGACGATGAGTCGCTCGAGATCCTGCGCCGCATCAAGACAGGAACTGACGTCAAGGATGTACTCAGGCGTATCAAAGAGGCAGACTTGCTCATGCAGCTCAACCCGTCAAATCCGGAACCGGATGTCAAGCACCAATATACCCTCCCACTTGTCTCGGGTATTCCTGCACACTTGCTCAACCCGGATCCAGAATACTACCATGCCTTGTCTGCCGCTGAGCCCGCTACTGCCGTTGCCGCTGCCGCTACCGGTGCCGAGCAGAGCAAAGCCGCTTCCTCAGCTGATTGTTGAACGTCATCCCAAGAGGGAAAAACAAAGAAGCTTGCATACAGCCGGCGGCTGAAACAACACCGTTTCCAACTCACTGTACAGTGTTTTTCTCCACAGGACACCAAGGGAAACTGTGATCCTTGCCGTCGGTTTTTTAGAGGACCATTTTTCTGCACACCCCAGCGGAATTCATAATACCGGTGGCTTTTTATTTTAATCTCCAGACGGAAGTCTTTTATTATAGATGGAGTCGGGAGGAAATGGGGAAGAGAGGGAAGCAAAGCACAGGGGTTGCAGCAGATGTCACTTTTGAAATGCTTGATTGGTGCGTTCGGATCATGCATTGCTCTGGTATTCAGCCACCTAATGTGTTCAGTACGCCTGATGGGTGGCCGCCACGGCCCGCTCCTTCATGCTGGGAATACCTGGGTGCTTTAATAAGGTTCATTGAATGGCCCACTAAACAACCGCCGTCAACGGTTCATCACCGCGTTGTGGGGGGCGGGGAACCGGTCTAGAGAACTATCATGCAACATACCGAAGCTGGGGGCTTAAATAATCTCGTCTTAAAAAAAAGTAGTAAAAGGGGAGAAAATGAGGTCGACCAGATTTGCTTCGAGCCAGTAAAAGTTAAGATCAAAGAACAGGCGTTTAGGTGGACATCATACAGGGTCCTGGCAGAATTTGCTTGCGTCGCGTGTTCCTTGCAAGACAAAGCAGCATTGATTCGCAGGTGAGCGTGTGTAACTTTCCCTTACAGATTAGTACAACCTGTACAGCAGCATCACATGCAACCAATCATCGACATCCAAACGTGTATGAATAATATTACGATTTTTTTTCCTTTGACGGTCCTATTTTTATCCTCTAGGCAATACACGCATAACTAAGACGCGCGATAATTAAACATCAACAACAATCCATGAGGGCATGAAGAAGAGTATTTCTATTTGTTCATTCTCATAAGAATTCCATCTATCGCATCCACTCAAGCACCAATGGCCTGCGGGTTCCAGAAGACACCCTTGGGATCGACCTTTGCCTTGAGCTCGGTCAGGCGCGCTGTCACCTCCTCACCATAGTACAGCTTGTGAGCAGTGGCAGCATCATACGTGGGATCAACATAGTTGAGATACGCGCCAAAATTTGTCTGAGGCTCGGCATTGATGATGGCATCGTTGATGCCGTTGATGAAATCCTTGGGTGTAGCGCCGTAGCCCCAGTTCTGGAACACCCACAGGCTCTTGCGGTCGTCGTAGGCGGCGAAAGAAACGTCCTTCTTGTTGATAGCCGAGCCGGGTCCACCGTACAGGTTCATGATGATGTACCAATCTTGGGAAGTACCGGACTGAAGGTGGTCGTAGAGCGCGCCAATGGCCTCGGATGTAAGACCGCTGGATTCGGGGACAGTTACAGACTTGGCGAAGAAGTCTTCATGCTCATCGTAACCAGTTGTGGGTACCTTAATGGTCGTCTTGCCGGAAACCTTGACTAGGTAGTCGTACCAGGCCAAGGACTCAACAGAGGGGCTAGAAGGTGTAGGGAGACCGCGGAGAAGCTCAGGCTTGATCTTGTTGTTGAATTCATCGACAGTACCAAAGAAGGCGCCGCTCAGACTGTAGCCGTTGTAGCCGTCAAGGTAGACACCAAATGAGATACGGTTATCCACAACCGAGCTGTTGGTAGCCACATCCTGGAGGTGGAGGAAGGTCTTGGTCCAGACATCCTTGGAATCGTGGACGCCCTGGAAACCAAACGAAAAGTACGTGATGCTGTCTGGGGCAGCATGGGTCTGGAGATAGAACTTGGTGACGATACCGAAAGAATCAGCAGCACCCCTGATAGCCCAGAAGAGATCAGGCGATTCGGTAGCTGACACCTTGACGAGCTTACCATCAGCGGTAACAACCTCAGCACCGACGATCTGGTCCATAGCAAGACCCCAGTTACGCGAAGTTTGACCGTAGCCTCCGTGGGTATAGTGGCCTCCGATACCTACGCCAGGGCAGGTACCCTGAGCGAGTGCAGCCTTGCCTTGGTTATAGATTCCGTCACCAAGGTTACCCAGGCGGACACCGCCTCCAACTGTTGCAATACCAGTATCCTTGGCAAGCTCAATAGTCTGGAAAGACTGAAGGTTGATCTGCATGGCGCCATTGATACCACCGGTGTTGAAGTTGGCATAAGAGTGACCACCCGACTTGGCCTGGCACTTGATTCCTTGCTCACCAGCGCAGACAACAGCATCTTGGACATGCTGTTCAGTGGTTGGCAGGACAATGACGGCAGGGTTGAAGGGTACGCGCAAGTTGTAAGGCTTTGCAAGATTTGCGTATTCCTCGTCGCTGCTCATCTTGAAAGGCACTTCCTTTCCATCCAAACACTTGACAAGACCCTCAGGTGCTGACACTGGTGAAGGGGCCGGAGTTGAAGGCGAGGGCGAGGGCTGAGGGCTGCTACCATCGTCACACGTTCCGAAGCCAGACTGGCATCCAATTCCACACTGCCCGCTGTTAGCCTCCAGGTCGTGTTGCGCTCCACAAGCTACTCACCCATGCCGAACCGGTTCCGCACCAACCGTATTGCGAGCAGCAATCTCCAAACGCAGAACCCTTGCACGTAAGACCGGCAGTTCCGCCGCATGATCCGTCAGTCGAGACGTCCCTCCTGTCTAGCACTGGGGTGGGCGTGGCCGATACGGCGACGAGGCCCACGGCAAGAGGAATGAGAAACTTCATTCTGGTGGTGAAGAAAAGATTAAGGTTGTGCCGTGGGGGATGGCGCAAGGTGAGAATTAAGTATTGATTCTACAGTCAGCAAGATATTACCCCAACCAGGGGTAGGGGGATAGTAAACAAATTAAGGAAACAACGGCTTAGACGGAGGAACGCACGATGCCTACACTAACATGTGATTTTCAAGGCCGTGAAGAAGAAGCTTTGCCTAGAGGGAAAGGGTGCTTTTAAACAACTGATCTGCGGTGGTAGTCGCCTCCTTGCCGTAGCCTTGTGTACCTGCGTCAGGCGTATGCCCTGTCGTCGATCCACCGGATACGACAAAATCTCATCAATTACTCCACAAGCCAGCACCCAATTCTGATTGCTTAAGACAGCGCGCATTGTACCCATCGTAAACTAATGGGCGGCCTAGGTCCTAATACGAGCTTACTTCGCCGAGCCCACGGCACAGATAGCCGCGACGAAAAGCAATCCCTGATCCTCGTCGAAAAACAAATGACCAAGACATGTCCAGAGGAAAGCCACAATGTTATACAGCATTGAGGAATCTTATTGTGTGTAGTACATTGTGCTAGAAGACACCTTCGACGTGTTTTGAACACGCGCGACACAGCGCCGTCGGTCGCATTAGACTTTCGGTAATTTGGTCGCTCGAATTCCGAAGCACCGATTCGCCACCTACGACATGAGAGGGTGAAGAAAAGCCGTCAAGGCTTAGCTTTGGCCGTTATTACCTTGGTTGTGGAGTATAATTAGCGGGCCCGAGTGGATGGCGGTGCCAGGCGGAAGCACGCCCCCACTCCGACCGTCTATTTTTGGCAGCCCAAAACTTCCAGAAAAGGAGACGCAGGACGCCAATCGACATTCCCATAGGTGACGTACATACTACTCGTATATGTCGAGCGGGTCAATACTGTGGTGGCTTGCAATAATGTAGAATGTACCCTCTAGTATTGTAAATGTTGCGAAAAATAGACAAGATACGATGAACGCCTGACTGCCAAAACAAACCCCTAAACTTGAACCAACAAAACTACCCAAATTCGGCACTCCAAATCTCTCCAAGTCAACAACTCAAGACTCCACCAGTCCTCGTGGCTCATTGGCCGTGGGTGGGTCACCTCTCTGCCAAATCACTCGGGTGATTGGCGGGTCACTCCCATCAGTGGGGTCGGTGCGGATGATCCTGTCTACCTTGTCATTGCGGGTGAGTGCCGGGAGCTCCCAGTTCTTCCTGTAGTATTCTGTCAGCTCCATGTCACTATGTCTCGAAATCAATACGATAACCTACCAGGTGTTGTCTGGAGGGAGCGTATCGAAGTCTACATCGGCTTTCGTAAAGATCCACACTTCTCCTTGACTTTCCATAGCCATAGCCTGACTGAGCAATTTCTGATAGCTAACTTGTCTGCCCGCGCTCAATGCTGACCCGATAACTGCTTCGTAACGTTTGTCCACGATATCATCGAAGAATACAGCGCCAAGGTTATCAATCTTCGGGTTTGGGACCGGCGCAATCAGGTCAGGGTGCGTTTGGACCCAGCACTTGCTTGTCTTGATCGCCCCGCCTGCTCCAAGAAAAGTGTAAAAGGCGGGTCTTCTGGCAGCTACTTGGCCCCAGCGCTGGATCTGAGCTCGCAATTCATCGAGCGGAGGAACGCTACCATCGCATGTCGTGGGGCCTATATCGTCTTCTTCTTCTTTGCTGGGAAAGCAACCGCGGCGAACGAGATGATTGGTGGTGACATTGACATCTTCGACGTCTGAACCGTACAGAACATGCTCAATCTGTCTAGGAAGCTGAATGTTCGTTGTAACTGCTGATATCAGTATGTAGGAGTGTATAAAAGTTCACCATACTTACCGGCATCAGGAGGCAGAGGAGCGGGTGCTGCATTGGTAAACGGGCCAGCAGCACTCCAAAGAAGTGCAAGAGAGACTGGGAACGCAAGAAGAGATTGGAACCTCATGCTGTGCTAAGAATGGGACGGGATGCAATGAAAGACAAAAGTGAATGGAGGTGCTGTTGCTAAGGAGATTGGAGACAGTGTACTGATGTGGATTTAGGAAGATATCCAGATGTCGTTATATGCTCTTCTTTCCTTGTCTCTAAGCGCTGAAGACTGTATACTGATTCTATCTATGAAGCTTACTACCAAGCCACCCCACGAAGTCAGGCAGGCCGTTTCATGAGCGACAAGGATAGTGTTGGGGAAGTATCTACCAGGGCCGTACTATACAATCTCTCTACACACATTTCCACTCTGAATTTAGGCCACGAGATCTAATTATGGCAAGGCACTTTCAATTGATGGTAACGCTTAGGGCCAACTGCCGTCTTCATTCTACATACTCGAAACCAACATATTCCTTCACGAAGGGGCCAGTTTCTCCTGGCTTTCAGAAGCAGGGGTTTCTACGCTACTACCGGGTTTGTTCCATCCGAACAGCTTCTTGGCCTGCTCAACCACGCTCGACTTCTCATCATGCACGTAGTCTGGGCAATCTACCGGGTCATTCTTGTGCCAGCACAATTTGCCATTGCGCTTTTTGTGCGATCGCTGATGGATGATACTCCCAGGCTCTCCTTCCATTGTTGCACCGTGCTGTTCAAGGATTTGTATCACCTCAGCTTTCTTTCCAGGTATTGTCGTATCTTTCATGGAGTTGAGAAAGTACAACACCTGATTACAGTCATTTCACATATTCAATTTACCACAGTACGAGCAACTTACTGGAGAAAAGAAGATGCGTCCCTCGTTAGCATTGTGTCCAAGCTCTTCTAGGCAATACTTTAGGACTGGAATGTCGCCCGTCATTGCAGCAGCGCCGACAACATCCCCAGTTTCGCCGCAGTCCCAGTCCTTGGTCTGTGGGAAATGCTTGAGGAATGCTTTGAACATGGGAAGCCCGGAACGGGAGGCAGCATCGTGTGGGTGTCCAAGCCAATGCTCCTGTGGGGGCCATGTTGGGTTGTCTTGGACTACTCGGTCGAACTCCTCAATGTCTTTGTTCTTGATTGCCGCAACAATCTGGCTGTAAATTTTCTCGGCGGTTGTAAGATCCATGGTATCGTTTCAAAGTGATCTTAAAATTGTGCAAGGGATTTGATGGAAGAGTAAAAGTTAAGGCTCCAGGTTGAAGTTGTCAAGGGCAAGTGGTGAGTTCTTATGTCAGCGGGGTGCTTTAGCCGCCCACGCCTCTCATCCTACTACAAGATCCCTGCGTTTGTTTCCCAGAAATAGCCAATAATTTCATTCTCCAAGGGCAGGGTACTTTTAAGGCAAGCGACTCTCGTTTCAAGTGTATACAAAAATACTAACATTCTTTTCTACCACATCGAGTACCTGAAATAGTGTGCAATGTTGTGCGCCTCGCCCCATGAGTCTTCCCGAATACCCGGTGTAACTTGGCAGTGATGGATCGAGAATAGCTAGCAAGAACGAGCAATCAAGGAGTTGGATCTATTCAAGGACAGAGGTAAGAACATTGTATATATAATGTCTATCATCTCCAGTGTATCAAGTATCATTCAAACATACACACCTTTCATACATTCTCAGCTCTACTCTCCTTTCATCTAGCATCATGCATCGTTCCTGTTCTTCCGCACTCCTTCTCTCTCTTCTCAATAGTTACCTCGCCGAAGCTCGCCCAGCCCCACAGGCCAATCCACCTCCATGCCCGACAATTGTGAATTTGCCAGAGGCAACTCTCACTCTTAGTCCAGGTCCATCCGATGTCGTTGTGAATGGCCTTCCTGATGGCGCAACTTCAACAATCTCGGCCAATGGACCAGCCATCACTATCGGCCCAAATTTGTTATCGCTAAATGCAGACAACAATGTCAACCTCAACGGCTTTGTGTTCTTGTTCAGCGACGATATGTGTCCGAAGCTGGTCATACCAATCACCAATCCAGATCCTGTGCCTGGGGAAAATACAGATGTTATTCCGCCAATTCCAGGACCAACTGATACACCTCCAGTAGACCCGGTCCCATTGCCAGATCCTAGCCCAGTGCCAGAACCTATCGACCCTATCCCAGAACCCGGTCCAGTTGAACCCATTCCGGAACCTGACCCAGTCCAGCCTGTTCCAGTTCCTGATCCAGTCGACCCTATCCCGGCTCCTGACCCAGTTGAGCCCATTCCTGAGCCCGACCCAGTCGAGCCCATTCCCGAGCCGGATCCAGTGGAGCCTATTCCAGTTCCTGACCCAGTCATTCCCATTCCTATACCTGGACCAGTTATTCCCATTCCAGTGCCAGATCCTGTCAATCCCATTCCAGTGCCAGATCCTGTCAATCCCATTCCAGTGCCAGATCCTGTCAATCCCATTCCTGTACCAGATCCTGAGAACCCAATCCCAGTACCAGATCCTGTCAACCCGATCCCGGTGCCTGATCCAGTGCCTGACCCAGTCGAACCCATTGATCCAACCATCACACCTCCTCCTCCCCCGCCTAACAACGAAGATCCCGATGATTGCGAAACCCAGACAGCAAACGTGTGCACGCAAGGATGTAGCTTCGGCACCAACGACCTTGGAATCACGACAACCACCTCATGCAAAGATCCCTCTTGCACAGCAACGACAGCTTGTGGCGTCTCCGATTCTACTACTACCACAACCATCGAAGCACCAGCCTGCACCCTCGACTTGACCGACGGCTTGATGCCGGGCTACCCTTTCCCCGTCGACGGCGACGGCCCGCTCCCCAGAGCCGACGCTCCACCCAACGTGCCCGCCCCAGCTGATCCCCAGCCCACACCTAGCGAACCAGTTGATCCCGCCCCAGAACCCACCGATGCACCTGTCGAGCCACCTCAGGAGCCCGAACCCGAGCCTCAACCCGAGCCTCAACCAGAGCCCCAGCCTGAACCTAAACCCGAACCTCAGCCTGGGCCCTCACCCACCGACCAAGTCTACCAAGCCGGCAAACTCACCGCAGGCGATGGCACAGAATCCATAGTCATCTACCGCAACCCCCGCGACTCGCCCTTCAACGTCTGCACCGACACTCCGTTTTACAAGGAATCGACGCTCGTCGGATTGTCCAAACGCTTCGACATTCCCGATTCCGACTACAAGAATTGCGACTTTGTGGGTATTGGGTCTGATCCTTTGGGGATTTACTGTGACGGAAAGGAGAGGCTGCCGTGCGTGGTTGCGGAGGGGTCGAGTTTGAACATGTGCTTGGCGGGTAATGGGGACACGTTTAGTGTCACTTGGAAGTGCAATGAGTAGAGTAGGAGTAGCTTGGGGGAGAGATTCAAGCGGTGTTTTAGTTGCTTTGGTTTTTTTGGGTATGACGAGGACGTTGGGGGCTAGAGTGGTACGGATTGATTTCAGTGCATGTTTTATGGAATGTCGGAGTACACGGTGTTATAGGAATTAGATTGATTTTTTTTTCCAGAGACTACAAGTGCTTCCATTGCTAATGTGGGGAATTCCATACAATATGTAAACAACCCGGAAACGCCAAAGTTACTACATGATTGCCCCCAAGACCTCAAGTGTAACAGTCTACACATTGCTCGTATCAGCCTCTCGGCTCCACTGGTGCAAGAACTCCTCCTTCATCCACTTCAACCGCTCCTCAGCCATGTTCCTCCCAGTCTCTGTCCTCATAGCCTGTACATATTGGCTCAAGTAGTTCTCAATCAACTTGCTGACCTTCTCAGTCGAGTCCCAACTCTCAGGTGGAAGTGGTCCGTAGAACGTGTAGAACCGAATGATACCAATCGCGCCCATTTCAGCGAGCATGTGCGCATCTTGAATCACGCGGTGAGCGGGGTACTCGTCCGAAAAGACCTTCATGAGGCTGACATCGTATAGTTGGATTTCGACTGTGACGCGTATGGTGATGAAGGCTACTTGGCGACGGATTGGTAGCGGGCAGCCGTAAGACTTGAGGAAGTAGTCAATGACATCAAGTTGATCGCATGGTTTCTCTGCTGCTCTAAGCAATTGACTGCTCACGCTGTGTATCATGCATGAGACCCATATGATGAGGGGGTCGAGTTTGCGAGCCCACTCATGATGCTTGACTTCTTTGTCGAGGATATGAGCGGCGTTTGAGACAATGCGGCGGATGTGTCCGTAGTTTTGATTTTCCGAACCGTTTGAGAGGTCGCGTACAGCGATGTTGACGTCTGTGAACCACTGGCGATCCTCAGGCTTGATGTTCAGGAGATCCAAGTTGAGAAGTGGAATGTGTTCCTCGGATGATCCCTGGTAGTTACCGCCATCTCCTTCCATTGGCGATGGTTCGTCATGAGGTACAGGGAGCTTTTTGGAGCGGCTTCTGCTGGGGCTAGACAAGCGGTGGGAAATGGACTCGATAAACGACTTCATGGTGACTTTGTCTCTGGGAAAAGGGATAGGGGAGATGGAATACCACGGGTATGGTTTGTGATGCGGTGGAAGAGAAGAGTTCGGAGAGGGGAAATATATGGTGGTTGGATAAGAAGCAAGTGCAAGGAGTGAAAGGTGTAGGGCTCGTTTGTAGTCTGAGCCTAGGTTGTACATGAACACTGCTGGAATGAACGCGATTCACGATGACGCAATGGTTGGGGAAGTTTATGTCGTAACCATATCTTGTTATTGTTATCAAGTGAGATGTCGAAGAGAGCTTTGCGTTACTCTCACCAAGGATTTTGTTCAATCTGTTGCTAGCCAAACTTTGTGATGGAGAGAATCTCAAGCAGAGTAGGAATAGCTCCAATGGGTCTGAATGAAGTGCTGGAGATAGTGACAGGCTGTATTGTATCCGTATCTGTAAGAACTACCCCACGTGAAGAGGAGATTGAATCAAATCCAGGGAATACCACATGTCTGCATATAGAAAATGATTGAAGGAACGGTAGTCATAGGAGATGGACTAGTGTGAAGTCCCAGTGCATATTGATACATGTTTCTTCGCAGTTATCCATTAAGTAACTGTCCTGAAACGTACCATTACAGAGCCCTAAAATTCTCAATAGTGAAAGACGTCTTCATATTCCCGCGCACAAGCCCTTTCACTCCACAAGCCCCACTTTGAAGCCGCCCATGGATCTGGGCTTATGGCCCCAGGGTTGAAGGCAGCCAAGGTCACGTGCACGCTAGCAGTTAGCGTCTCCCTGCCAGTATATAAGACCACTGTCCCCCCGTCCCCTCTTGGATTCCTCATACTTACCTTCTTGCGACGCACTGAGCTCATGTATTCAGTGGTCTGACTCGTTCGCCTGCATTGCACAGCGCGGTGTGGATAAGTCACGAGCTTCCTTCGGGAATCTCGGCGGGGCAATTTTTGCTGGTCGCATCTAAGAGTGCTCTTGTCCTTTTCATTGAGTCTTCTGGCTTGACGCCAGTTGCTTGAGGAAGATGGATGTTGGTGTTGCAAACGCGTACGACGTGTGATGGCGTATCGTGTGTATAGCTTGGGCGAAGAACGCGTGGCAGGCTTCATGATATCTTCCGCGACCTTGATGCTGTACGCATTGGACACGTACTACGACACGCGTTGAAGCCAGAGATAGGACGTGGCGTCGGGCTTGATGGGCTTCTCCAACAGCTGGCAGCCGCCTTGTTCGTCATCATATAGACTTTGTTCCTTCTTTCTCTAATTCCTCTTGGCCAACAGCTCGACAGCTCCAGCGCGTGAGCTTGCTATACGCGTGGAAACGCCGAGTCTTGCGACCGGGTCCTGCAAAGTCGGTCTTGTCAAAGGCCACACGCCTGCTGGATCTACGTCTTACAGCATACGACAGCGTGCATGTTCTTATGTGAATCATCTTTTGTATCTTTCCGCATTCAATCACCCGCGGCCTTGCTTACATCGCCAGCTCTCAGCGAGTCTGGCGCAGCAGCCTGACCTTCCTCCACTTCCAGATCAGCATCCTCATCCGCAGACGCATCCTCTTTCCCACTCTGTTTCGCTTCCTCCAATGCTCTGTATTTCCTCTTCGACTTCTTCGCCGCGCTTGCCTTCTTCTTACTCTTCTCTCTCGCCTTGACCTTTGTCCTAGCATCCTCTCCTAGCTCCATCTCCTCAATGCGGTCCTGCAGGATTCGTCTTGCCATCTTCCGATTAATCTCTCTCGACCGCGTATCTTGATATTTAACGACAATGCCTGTGGGGATGTGCTTGAGTTGCACGGCAGATGATGTCTTGTTGATTTTTTGACCACCGGGACCAGAGCCCTTGAGAAAGTTCTCTATCAGATCTGATTCAACGAGTACGGGCCGTGGCGGAAGAGCTTTGGAGAAGAGCGCAGGGGTACTGTGGAATGCGGCATGTTGGATACAGACGGAAGGAGATGCGCGGATGAGGGCGAGGCGGGGCATGAGCGGACGAATGTGCATTTTTCAGATCTTCTAGATTGGAGATGATGCAATAGCAGTAGCATGTCGTGGTAGCAGCATTGCCACACGGAGAAAACTTTGTTGGCCGTTGTTGACCAGCAATGCGACTTGACAAATTGTCGTGCGCGTCATGAGATGAGTGGAGAGCGGAGCAACACGCCAGACCCCTGCTCCAAATCCGCTCGGTCCCTGAATTGGTCAATCTCCCCTTCCTTCACCTACGCCGATTTCCATGCCATTCTAAATCCGCCGCGCGCCGCGCCCCAACTACTTACGCAAATCCCTCGGCCGAACCCTTTATTAAGTCGCCCTGTAACTACGATTTCCTATGGTTGACACGACATCCCTCGCGACAGGCGTCCTCTTGGCTTCGGCTTCCGCACTCCTCCTTGCAGCCATGTTGTATCCCTCGACCATGCTGCGCTGGTTCCAGCGCAAGCGATACCAATATGAAGTCACCTTCTCCCTATACATGTTGACGTCGACCGAGAAGTTCATCTTCAGTACGTTCCTCCCACATGTGTGTGTGCTTCTGGTCACCGCCAGACACCCACACCCCTTTCCCTTGCCTTTCCAGCAGAGACATGGCGTGAGAACCATGAAAGACAAAAGACATCAATTAACATAACTACAGACTCTGTGCTCTTCCTCCTACTCTCTCTCCTCATAATCGCTGCTTCGCTATACCTCCCCGAACATCTTTCCATCATCGCGAATCGTATCCTCTACTATGTATCTGGCAACCAACAATCGCTCGCCAATGACGCACAGAAAATGAGCGTATCACCGAATGCTCCCCTAGGAGATTTCCCGGCCGGTGGAAGGGCCTACATGGAGCCATAGAACGACGGAGGACATGCCAGCACGAATGAGAGTAGCTACACTTGTTGGGAAATAGAGGGGGTTATGGCGTTTAACAATGGAGCCTTTGGAGATACATGACAGGGTCTTTTTGAAGAGCGTAACGAGCAGCGAATACGCGTGTATGGAAGAAAACATCAAGGCAGACGGGAACCATTCATGCTGCCATCCCTTCTGCGTATTATATACCTGGCAGCCCACGACAGAGTCAAACGTCATTATTCAACATTCAGAACCGGATACGAAATACCAAATATAATGTTAATACCTTTTGCTATCTTGTTCTTTTGAATAGCCATGTCAGCACGACTAACGTACACATTCCCCCCCAGTATACAAAGTTTACTTCCCCCCTCCCCCGCCCATGTACCTGTCTGCCACGTAGACTGCATACATACGAGGTACATGCCCTGTCTAGCATGGTATCGACCTCACGTGAGCGTCTCTGTATGCGTTGTGATATGCATCATGCACGCCGTGCAGAAATCAATCACATTGACCTTGCATGCACGCGTGTACGTCGAGTGGGGCGACCTGCCTTTTTTTCTACCTCGGGCCTTGTTGACATGTCTCTTTTTTCTTCTCTTCTACATTCAATCTCACTGCCGAGTAGAGTAATGTATGGTATGTAGTGGAGATATTTCCCGTAGATTGCTTGAATATATCATTGCTGTTGTATTGCTGAGTTCAAGTGAGCACAGAGATGAATATAGTGAATGAGGTAGTGGGTACATTCTCATGACGTATGTAAAGAAGATGATAAACGTGGACTAAAGCTAACGACAATGTGCATTATGCCTAAACTAACAAAGTCTTTGTTTGCAATTGGAACGCTACACAAATACCACTCAATGACACTTGCCTCCATGGCACTAAAGCCCCCCAATGTGATGTAGCGCATAAAAATCCGGATACGGACACACAAAAGACCACCCTTCATTACTCTCACATCCCAAACAGAACTCGGACGGCATTGTTCAACGCTGCAGCTGTATAATCGTTGGCCGTAATGACTGCCGGGAGATCGCAAGTGGCATTAATGTAGCCCCTTCCAACAGCGTCATCGCTAATAAGGAGCACTGCAAAAGGGATGCCGGCTATCGAGTTGTTCTCCTTGATGTCCTTTGCTATGCCACGAGCAAACTGCAACTGTTTCTCAAACGCTTGGGCATCATATCCGAGGACATTGGCCGTGGCACAAACGACAACTATAACTGCTCCACTTGAAGGCAGAAAGTCGGCGTGCGTTTCCGTTTTGCCGTAGTCGAGGCGGTATGGCACATGTCGTACTTTTCGTGGCAGCACCCGGCCCAGAGGCTCAAACGGATCCATATCTTTTGCCAGTGTTGTGGAAGGAGGGTGGGGGACAATTGGCGTGAAGAGAGTGATTATCTCAGCTTCATTTAGATGCCGTAATCTCTCCAGAGTTCTCTTTGGACACCGTACAAGCTTAGCGTCGCCGGTGGCCGAAGCTCCATGAAGCATCTTGGTCAGATTCGGTGGGCAAGGTGTTGGAAAGGTAGTCCTTGAGCAAAATGACTTGTAAATGAACGGGGTTTCTGATCTGTGTTTATACATGACCAGAGGCCAGTGTCCTTTGGATATGATCCCAACGTAGATAATTCTCCACAAGACAAATGGATAGTGCAGTAAGAGATTTCATGGGCATTTCCTGTAAATACCACAAAAGGCTCGTGGATCAAGCTCCAGGAAAGCACTCCAACTCGCGTATCTCACCTGCAATGTAACGAGCCTGGGTTGCCGAAAAGAAGGAAAGTTGCTATGCCGTGAGACAACAGTAATTTTTTGAGGCTAAGGCGAGGCTCGGGAACGCTAATGCTCAATAGCGAGCTAAATGGCGCAGGCCTGGCTGCGACTAATCACGAAGGCGTGGTTACCCAATATTTTCCTTCGATACTCCAGGAACAGGTCAACAAACCCAGAAACCGAGTGGTTGATGATCACAAGGTGGGTCGTAATCGTGTTCCCGGCTCCTAGAGGCTTTAGACGGTAAAATTGATTAACTAAAAGCTACCAGATGTGCATGCCGATATTATTGAAAATGATGATCGAGGTGATACCAGATCAGATATGAGGAGGGTAGCACAAACCTTCGGCCATGCGGGCATGGCCGGCAGATAAAGCAAATAATTTGGGACTGTGTTTGGCGGAAGGAGTGCCGAGTGGCTGGCATATTTCAGTCCATGGCCACGACCGATACGTCGCAGGCATTCTGGTGGCGCGGGTGCGTATGTGGGCAGTTACTTCAACGAACGCCTCGCCGCATGGCCATGATTGTATCGGGCAGCAGCAAGATCGTGTATCGAAGGCGAACGAGATTTGATAGGATAGCACATGCGGGGCACTGTTGCAATGTGCACGTGTATGAGGAAGTGATAGTCATGGTAGTCTTGGAGCCCTACAGTACTAGCAGAAGGGAAGATGAAAGCTGTCACTCCGGACAAACCGCCTCACCGACCGGTCTGGTGGAGGATCTGTGAACGAACGCCACTCAGGATCAGGCAGCCAGCCAACAACCGGGTCAGTAGGCCAGGCACGTATCCGCGTACGTACACCATCATCAGGGGGGCGTACAGCGCGCGGGGGTGTGTACGCTCGGAGTTGACGTTGCAGAGGGAGTGATGGAGTCGATCGCTGACGTGCAAAGCAGCCCATGACCCAGAGCCAGTCGGACCGGCCAAGTCGACGCATCTTTACCTTTTGATGCTTGCCATGTAGCACCAAATGTTCAAGGTGAATGTGGAGACAGGCGAGCGCTGCGAAGCATGTTCCAGTGACGGATAGGCCATGCGGGTGACATCTGCATGATTAATTGAACCAAGCCGGAGTAGCGTGGGCGAGCCGCAGGAGCCCCAATCGGTGAGTTGACCAGTAAGTTGAGCCATTGGCTATAGAAGGAAGGGCCGAATACGCAAACGCGATGTAGTCATAGGACAGTACTGTTTGCAAGGTGGGTGGAAGAGGTGTAGCACGCACTCTTCTGGATGGATGGCTGGCTGACGGGGAGCTGCTCGCTTGTTTGGTCGCGGTCCAAACAGGCAAGGCGCAACTTCATGTCAACAACCACGACGGCAACGCGCCCGCGCAACCGCACCGAGAATCCACAACGGCCAAACGCAGTCTTATCCGATGCATGCTGGTACTGACAGCAGCATGCCATCTGTTGCTGGTAACTCGACCTGCGACCCGCCCTATGCCAGCTACTGATGGACTCGGCAGACGAGCGGCCCACGCTGCAGGAGACGCTAAACTTATTACACCAAGGTAGGCATCACTACGCGACTGTCGACTCGGTCAGGAAGAGTGCTTACAGTGGCTTGCAGCATCTAGGACACCAGCAAAGCAACGCACCATCAAGGTCTCGAGCATAGTCGATGTCATCTGCCGTTATGCCACAGAGGGCGGCCTTGACCAGGATGCTCTTCGACATGTTGTACAGCTTATATCGGTGAAAACGTCGTTAGATCAGACAACCATTACTACCCTGACCAAGAATCTGTACCCTGCCCGTCGCATACCACGTGACGTGGTCCTCACTGTTGTCGGGGCGCTTGGTCAAGGCAAAGGAAAGCCCTCGCCTGGCACCCAAGACAGTCTGGTAAAGTGGCTGATTACAGTTCATGAGATCATCGAAGAGCAGGATGTTCTCTCGCGTCTGTATAGCGTTCTATTCGGCATGCTGGATATGATCAGCATTAGGTGAGCCACTTCAGCCAGGTTGCAACCGCATGTGTGCTAAGTTTAGCAGGACGTCCTTGTGTCATCTGCTCTCGCTCATCACTCGCAGAAAGCACGTCAAGCCATTTCGCATACAGCAACTGTGAGTGTACACTTCAAAGGCAGTGCTTTGACATGGGCTACTAACGCAACTGCAGACTGGAACTTTCACGCGGACTAGGTAATGAACCCGCGTTACAGGGACTTCTCCGCGTGTACAAGGACTACTATCCCGACATCATTCTTGGAAGTACTTCCACGAGTCGCAAATCTTTCGCTCCGGTGAGTATCCGCTGCTTGTGCCACTACAAATGCAACCTCGACTCTCCCACGCTATTTCCCCGCACCCCACCGTCGTACTGCCGAACATGAACTAACTTTGCAGCGACCGGACGACGAATGGAGAGCCAGAATTGCCGCAGTCCATGAGGCCAGCAATGCTGTGGACGATTCAGGCGGGGAGGTGCAGAACGGCTTCAAGGTGCTACGAAAGGGACTCAAGGGTAGCAAAAGCTCTGCCATCCCGGAAGTGCACACCTACCATGCGACTGAAGTAAGCTCCCAGTCTGAACCGTTTAGTAGTAGACACTAACACTTTACGATATAGAGTTCAGTGACGCTCGAGGGTATCGACAGTGTTGATGATTTTGTTGAGAAACTTGATAGGATAGAGCCACCAGGTCAGCTAGTATCGTTGCTCGCGGATCCACTTTTACAAAAGTATGTGGATTTAAATCCATCACGCATTTCGACTGCCAGGATTGGTGTATGGCTTGCAGCCTGCTTAGAGGAGCAGTTCGAGGCCCATCGCCAAGGGGCTGGAGACGACGGATATCTCGATGAGATACTCAGTGGTCTCTTGAGATATGCCCAGTACACAAAGGTAAGGGCATTTATTATATCGACTCGTGCGAAGCTGACCAATCGAAGACGTTACACTCTAGTGTATTGGCTTTCTTCCGAGAGTATCTGCCAGTATGGAATGGACAGGACAACCTTGACACGATTCTAGGACTACTGTCCTATATTGACATTGAGTCATTCGAAGAGGTTCATGCGATATATCTCTCCTTTGTCGAGCGGGCCATAGCGGCTCAAGGAATCCCAGCATACCCCAAACTCATTAACTTCTATACTGCTCTCGTACAGCATCATATATCGACGGCGGTCACTGACGCTGCAAATCGTGGCAGTGAAAGCAGTCAGACGTTAAGCCGTGTGACCACGCATGTTGCAACATTATTCACATCAGCTCTTGTTTCGATACCTGCAGGACTGGGCAGTGATGTCACGTCGTGCATCCTTTCCTTTTACGAATTGGTCAGCACGTCGTCGAAGCCGCGAGTGGTGCCGATACAGCTGCCACCAATGCATCTGATCTATCTTTTGACGCAGGATACCTCGGCAACGACATTTGCACGTGTCTGCGGCATTGTTGGGGCGTACAAATTGGCATTTGACAGGCATCCCAAACCGGTCAAAGCTTACTACCCTGTTGAAGCTACGGATACATTCAACTATTGTTTGCGAGACATGTACAACCTTCTCTGGGTAGCTCGGGGTCTGGTGGCTCAGGACAAGAAGTCGCAGGGGTTATTCTGTGATGCAGCACTTCGCTCCATCCTCCACTCTTATCTGAAGAAGATGGATCGTGAGTATACTATCGAAACGGCTTTTGGGCTGTCTCACAACGCATGGCTAGCAGCGCTTTCTGCAGCAGCTTGGCGTGCTATGGAACAAGACTTTGCTGATAAGAACGACCTTGATCCGAATACTATGGTGCACCACCGAGGACCCGTCAGTGAGAAGAGTCTAGAGGCACTGAAGCGCAAAGGTGGGGCGAGTGTGGATTGGGATGGTGGAAATGGGTACAAGGCGTGGGTGCTTCAATGGCTGGATGGGCGAGGCCTCGGTGGTATCAAAGAGTTGATGTTTGCTACCGTGATGAATCTGAAGGGTGCCGCATAAGTTTGCTCAAAGCATGGTATATACAAGCCGTTAGAGTTCCGAGCGGCTTGTTTTGAGAGTAAGAACATTTGCAGGTGCCAATGTTTATGTATAGTTTTGTAGTATATCAATCATAACAATAACAAGCCGGAGCTTGGAGGCTGAAATCGGGACTATACAATGACATTGGATTACAATAGTACATGGATGTACCTGACGTGGACTGACTCGTACGGACCGACCATGCTGGAGAACAGGCCGTGTTTGGAAATCGGTACTTGTGTGTTTATACGAAGGTGGAAACCAACGGCAAGTTGTCGCAACCAGAGGCAGGATGGAGTCGAGGTGATGTCGTGAGGATCCGATACCCACTCGTAGCAAAATGTTTTTTTTTGCTCGGAGCAGGGGTGAGAGCATAGTTGCACAGCTATGACGCGCGGGCGGCACGCGAAACACGTGCGCCCGTGGTTCCTGGGCATTGGCTGCTGGCAGGCAAAGCTCCCCGCTGGCCAGTCCCAGTCGAGTTGTAGTTTATTCTTCTAATACTCTCTTACTACTGCATGCCGCGCTGCTTGGTGTGACGCGTTTCCTGCACTTCCTCACATTCAGCCTCTCGCTTAGCCATGAAGTTCGGAACGACGCTTCGCCGGAGCGTGTATGCGCCATGGAAAGACCAGTACATCGACTACGACAAGCTCAAGAAGCTGCTCAAGGACAACGAGGATGACGACTCGTGGACTGCTGACGATGAGAGCGCCTTTGTCGACGAGCTGGCCAACGTGCAGCTGGAAAAGGTGCACAACTTCATCACCGACATCTCGCAGAAGCTGCGCGACCGTACCTCGGCATGCGAGAAGAAGCTGGAGCCATTGGCCGTGGGCGTTCACGACGATGACAACACCAACGCCGGTGGTAACGGCGAGGGCGAGGGCTTGCTGGCCGAGTCCTCCAAAGATGCGCCCAAGAAGCCCGAGCTCAGTCAGGAAGAGCGCGAAAAGCTGCTAAAGGAAGTGCTGCGCGAGCTCGATAGCATCACCAAAGAGACCAAGGAGCTCGAAGCCTTTAGCCGCATTAACTTCACCGCCGTCATCAAGGCCACCAAGAAGCACGACAAGCTGCGCGGCAGCTCCTACCGCCTGCGCCCCTTCATCGACGCCCGCATTGCCCGTCACCCGCTTCACACCGAGGATGCCTCGCCGCTGCTCTACAGGCTGTCGGCTCTCTACTCGTTTGTTCGCCAAAGCCTCGATGGCAAGTCCAAGGAGGCCTTGTCCTTTAACGATGATAGCACCACGGGCGAGGCCTTCAACTCACACAAGTGTAAGTCTTACATGGCCAGCTGTAACGCGCCGCGCTGACAATATATAGTTTGGGTCCACATGGACAATCTCTTCGAGGTTAAGACGGTCATCCTCCGCCGCCTCCCAGTCCTTGTCTACAACCCTCAGACATCAAAGGTTGCCGAGGGTACCCAGCGCGACCCGACAATCACTTCCATCTACTTCGACAACCCAGACTTCTCACTCTACACGGACAAGGTCAATGGCAAGCCTGACGCCTCTTCGCTCCGCCTCCGCTGGTACGGCCAGCTCAACGAAAAGCCCGAGATCATGTTTGAGAAGAAGGTCATCAAGGAGGGCAATGCCGCCGAGGAAGTTCGCTTCCCCATCAAGGCCAAATATGTGCAGCCTTTCCTCGAGGACAAGTACCATATGGAGAAGAGCATTGAGAAGATGGAATACAGGCCCAACAAGGACCAGCAGAAGCTTGACCAGTTTAAGAGTGCCGTCAGCGACATCCAGAGCTTTGTTAAGGAGCAAAAGCTACAGCCCATGCTCCGCGCAAACTACACTCGCACTGCTTTCCAGATCCCGGGCGACGACCGCATCCGCATCTCGCTCGATACCAATCTTGCCCTCATCCGCGAAGACTCGCTCGACGAGAGCAGGCCATGCCGTGACCCAGAGGACTGGCACAGGCACGACATTGACGGTGCCCAGCTGGAGTACCCATTCAAGAACCTCAAGAAGGGCGAGATCCACAGGTTCCCCTATGCGCTGCTTGAGATCAAGGTCAAGGGCTCACAAAAGTACGAGTGGATCGAGGACCTGATGCACTCTCACCTCGTCAAGGAGTCGCCTCGCTTCTCCAAGTTTGTTCACGGTGTCGCCAAACTGTTCGAGGACAACGTTAACACCTTTCCCTTCTGGCTCAGCGAGGTGGACAACGACATCAGAAAGGAGCCTGATAAGGCCTTTGACGACGAGCAAGAGAAGAAACGCAAAGCCGCCGAGGATGAGTTTGCTGTTGGCTCCCTCTTCGGTGCACGCGCAAGCCCTAGTTTCCGCCCATCTATTGCCTCGCCCGTTGGCTCACCCGCAGCTACTCGCTCTGTGCCCAAGAGTGTTAGCATGGCAGCCCACTCCCAGCCTGCCGTCCGACCCTCGCTGCCGACGATTGGTTCGCACCTTTCGCAATCGCAGCAAGACCGCAACCGTGACGCGAACAACAACACCAACGTCCGCGTTGAAGAAGATTCGGATTCGGACGACGATGTAGTTGCTGGAGGAAAGACGCAAAGAGGTGGTCTTGCTGCTCTCTTCCCATCCTTCTCCACCTCCAAGTACGCCCGCCGACAACAGCGTAAGATTCAACTGCCGCCAGGCATCAGAGACCCCGGTGTATGGATCAAGGACCAGGGCCCGGTCAGGGTCGAGGCCAAAGTGTGGCTCGCGAACCAGCGTACCTTTATCAAGTGGCAGCATGTTAGTGTCTTGCTTGCTTCTCTGTCCCTTGGTTTGTACAATGCCGCAGGAGAAGGAAATGACATTGCACGCGCACTGGCTGTCGTGTATACGTGCGTGGCTGCCTTTACCCTAGCATGGGGCTACGGCATGTACGTGTACCGGGCTAAGTTGATCCGGGAGCGTAGCGGAAAGGACTTTGATGCGATTACGGGACCGTTGGTTGTGTGCATTGGTCTTGTAGTAGCTTTGTGCTTGAACTTTGGCTTCAAGGTACGTTGGCCTCTAGGCTAGTATTTGATGATGATGTAATGAGAAAACTAACGTGTTTGGTTCCCGCAGTATAACGCTTTGATTAAGCAAGGACACCATGACCACACTCATCACCATGCCAATGCTACCTTTGTGGATGAGCAGATGGAGCTGAGGATCTAAGTCTACTGTCACGGAGTCTTGTTCAACCCGTCTATCAATCTAATTTTGAGAAGAGAAGTTACACTCCCCGGGGAGGAAAGACTAAGATATTTTGACAGTCCTGCTTGTCATACCGCTCGTTGCACAGGGGGACTTGAGTGAAAAGGGAAGAAAGGGTAATCTCGCATTCACTCTTTTTTTTTACCCTATCCAAATATCCTCGGACAAGGCAAAACAATATGATTACCTCTTACAACGCTACCTACGCTTTGACGAGATGGTATTTCAAGCACAAAAAACAGGAAATAAAAAGAAGGGAGGACGATGAAAGCATGTTGCATTCTATGGTGTTTGGGGGTTTGTTTTCTGTTTGAAGCGGTTTCGAGGAGGGAAAAAAAGGGGGAGGAACTATAGTTTGTGACACGAGTATTGTTTGTGTGCGTGTGACGACAAGGGCGATTCAGTCGTACTGTCACATGCATGGGTATGATTACTTTGCTGTTTGTACTTGTATTTGTACGTACGGGATGAGATACCGAGGGGTTATTGGGGTTGTTAATGGAAATGTCATATTTCTTTGGGAAGTTGTGGTGTTTGAAGTTTATCTGTGTGTGTGTTGCATGTGTGTTCGTCTCGCCAATTGATTGATCACTTGGAATTGATGATCAGTAGCACGGGCTTGGAAGGGTGTGTAATGGAGTGGTTCGAGTGACCATGTTTTCCCTTCGCATGTTTTATCTTTCTTTTTTCAAAGGTTGCGAGTGGATGAAACAGTCCCGGAACCATCGAACCATGTGAGCACCTTGTTTTGAAAGACGATTTGTACGTCATTACTAATATTGCCATTGTCATGTTTTTCCTGCAATGCTTCAATCTTGCAAATAGACGTTGCACTACACTTGTGTCCAGGGGTACTGGGATATATTGCTACCAAGTAGCAGGTGAAGGGGAAATTCTAGCACCAGAGCTCGCTGGTACTCTACTGCGCAGGAACGGATGTTAGTTGGTGCGCAGTACTAGCCCAGTGGTTAGTAGTGGAACCGCTGTGGCGGGTATGGTACGGCTGGGGCTGGTTTGCAGACTACTAAGCTCGCCAAGCTTTGTTGAGGCTAGTGAAACCGAATCCTGCGTGTTTTTTTTGCATCCGGAGTATTGTTGTCGGCAGTGCTTCGGGTGCCTACATAAGTATCTGCGTGCGTGCATGTGCCTGGCTCTATTCCAGTTCGGCAGAAACAGTGTAAGTAGACGAATCAGGGACAGCTTTTGTTACAATGAGTATCCCGTAGTCGACAACGCTTTGGGAACAAGCAGTCAGTGGCGCAACGGTACCCGAGATTTGATTCCAACCGTAATCCGGGGGAGTGTGACGTCTCCCATTGGGGTGATACGGCGCTCGAGTGCGAGGCGGGAAAAAAGTAGCGTAAAAGGTGCCTCACCGGACCCAGCAAGGCTTGGCACTTTGGAACCACAGACGGGATGCCGCCTAATTGTTTTGATGGTCACCGTGACGTTGCTGCCGGTGGGAAGCAGATGAAGCATGAATGTGCCTGTGTCCCGTCTTGTCATCACTTGGGATTTGATTGACGTACACCGGTAGTGCTACTTGGAAGTCTTTGTCTGGCAGGAAGTTCTCTCCATTTCTGCAAGCAATGCCGCCATCGGTTGTGACGGCTTTAAGCGGCGGAGGTGGCAAGACAAGGGCGAAAAGAAGTGGCAGGGGTGTTGATTGTGGTCAAGGGGCGCATGAGGATGCTAGCAGCCTGTCATTTTGTTGCAGACTTGGGTCCCCATCTATGGACATAGATAGCTACTCGAGATACGCAGTTGTACATAGTATTAGTTGGACAGACGGATGTAGGGGTAAAGGGACATGAGGCCACAGCGTGCCACAGTCAGGGCTGGTAAGACGGGCGGCATGTTGTGCAGCATATTTGCATGGATGATTGCTGGTTGGACAGCAGCGGAAGGCGGGCGGGCTGCTAAGGTGTGTGTGTGTGTGAAATGCAGCGTTGGAAGAGTGGAGTGGGTGGCCAGCATGCGGCCCAGCGATCTCCAGGCACAGACGCGCCAAGCTGCCACTCTGCCACTCTGCACTCAACCACCCACCTTTCAGGCCCGCCCGCCCGCTTCGCCCGCCCTTGCGAACTGCTCCGGCAATATCCCTTGAAACACCTTGGGCCCTTTTTTCCCTATTGCCTCGTCCAAATACCCGGCTGACATGGCGTCTTTTTGAATCGTATGTTTAATCTCTGCTGAAACCCCAAATCCATGGCCACACAGCTCTGCCTTACGGTCCCTGTGCGAACAACGAAGCCCATGGACATTTTGCCTCCATATAGGCGGTAGGGTCTAGTTTAGTTGCGGCTCTGTGCTAATCTCTACCTACCATGTATTATGACCAGCCACAATGGCTCCCCGGATCCCAGGCTGGGTGTCCACTGTTCGGCATTCATGCAGGAGACGTGTGAATGTGATTGGTGTTACGACTGCGAATGCACCTCTGCGTTAGGCATGTGGGTTAGTGCTCTGTCGCTCAAATTGGCCCCAGACCCATCTGCTAGTCTGTTTGTATTCGTACGCAGGCGGGTCTTGGGTGCGTCACTCATGTATATCACCAACCTCCTAGTGGCGCGTGTCAGGACTCTTAAGAGCGCTGGGCCCTGCAGCTCGTCTCATCTTCACTGCCCGTTTTCTCAGGCTGCAACCCCCCCTTCACTACTGCCACCTTGGGGACAAACGGACGCAGAGCCCCAATTGAATCTGCTTGCCCGCTTGCACACTACCTTCCTGACTCAATGTCCAGCACGTGACGTTGTTGCTCTTGCCTCGCCACGACTACACTACAAACACGGCCCTCCACCTCGTCCTTGTTCGCTCATCTTTCCATTCGACACCGAGCAATCCCATTCTTTTCCAGCTAACTTAGCCCGTCTGCAAAAAAAAGGATAGCTCGGCGAGGCTATCCACGCCCTACCTATGAAGACCCACTCCACCCTCGCCATTGCGGCCTTGACCACACTGGCTGCCGCCTCCCCAGTACTGCCCTCTCGTACTGAACACATCCATCTTGAGCGCCGCCAAGCCAACGGCACTACTTCAGCTCCCTGCGCCAAGGTCTCCAGCTATGTTTATGGCGACGGCAATTCCCCTTCCAAACAGCAGGTCCCTGCCCAGCTGGCCTGGGATTGCTTAAACGACATTCCCTTTAATGCATCCTCGGCAAAGCGACTCATCGAGGGCATTCGGCCATATATCGATTGGCAGAGTACTCTCGATGTACTCAAGAACCCACCCGCCGAGTACGTCGAGAAAATCCAGCCTCCAGTCGACATTATTGGGGGACTCGACCAGATCGATGCCGATATTGACGCTGGCAACTTCAAGAACGAGTACGACTTTGGCTGGACTCTCTACAAACTCATCCAGTCTGCCCATGACGGCCACTTTGCCTACGTCCCTGATTCAGTTGGCTCCCTCTTCACCTGGGGCCGACCGATTCCCCTAGTTTCTGTTTCCGAGGATGGAGATCAACTACCTGCAGTCTTTGCCTTCCCCGATGTCCTTGGTATGCAGTTTAAGAACATATCCTACACGCCTTCCCCCGTTGTCGAGATTGATGGCAGGGATGCAACAGAGTTCCTGGAGGAATTCAGTCAGCACGGCCAGCTCCAGGATCGTGATGCACTCTACAATAATTTATTCTATGAGCTTGCCCAAGTCAGTCTCAGCGCCATGGGCAGCGGTACTGGTACCTTCACTGGAGGTGGTCGTGGACGATGGGTCTATCCTGGAGCCACCACAACCCTTACCTTTGCCAACGGGTCTAGTTACACAATGGAAAACTACGCTCGCCCGCTCATTCCACTCCGCAACATCGTTACAGGCCAGGATCTAGCCGACAAGTGGCTCACCTTTGGTTCTACGGATAGCCCACCCAAGGAAAATTTGGGTGCTGATACTGCTGTTGTCCAGGCAGCTGGCAACAATGCGCCAGGTTATCCTACCCCTATCGCAGCTGGTCCAATGAGACTCATCAACGGGTTCTACATCAACGCTCCTGGATACGAGGATGTTGCAGTGCTTCAAGTGCCTAACTTTGTCGGCTCTAACAGCGCTGAAATTCCATTCCAGCAATTGACACAGAACTTCATTCCCAAAGCTCTTGCAGACGGGAAAACGAAGCTGGTGATCGACCTCCAGGCCAACGGTGGTGGCACAGTTTTGCAGGGTTACGACATGTTCAAGCAACTATTTCCCAATATCGAGCCACTCAGCAACAATCGTCTCCGTGCACACGAAGCCGTAGATCTCATCGGCAAGGCCACTAGTACTTTTGCCTCCAAGTTTCCAAGGGAATATGGCAACAACAGGACCATTACCTCTGCCCAGAGTTCCTATTTTGACTACCATACTGATGTCAAGGTGGATGGTACGCCTTTCTCATCTTGGGACGAGAAGATGGGACCCCACGAGGTCAACGGCGCGCTATACACCACAGAATCACGATGGAATCTCTCTGACGTTTTTACTCCCTATTCGTCAGGTGGTATTTACGTGAGCGGGTATGGTCCTCTTGCCAATGTCACTGGACCACCCAAATTTGCTCCCGAGAACATCGTTCTTCTAACAGACGGTTACTGCGCGTCAACTTGCACCATTTTCAGTGAACTCATGACGCAACAAGCGGGCGTTACAACCATTGCTATGGGCGGTCGTAGCAACAAGAACCCCATGCAGGCCATTGGAGGTACCAAGGGCGTCAACAATTACCAATTCGGCTTCATCCAGCAGACTGCACAGTATGCCATCACTTTTGATCCTTCACTGAACAGCTCCATTCTGCGAGAAGACTACTACCGCGACCTCGTCTATTCGCGTAGTGCAGGCTCAGGTGTGAACTCCCGAGACGGACTTCGTGTGAATGACACCTCTGGTGTGGCCTTGCAATTTATTTACGAGGAGGCCGACTGTCGCCTTTACTATACTCCTGAGATGACTGTTGACATCACTGCTGTATGGCG